AAGTTATATCTCAATTGAAAAAAATATTTTAATTTGTATCAAAAAGACAAATATTAAATACAATAAAAAGAATTCTTGAGATTTAAAATAAACATAGCCCAATATTTTTGCTTACTTCTTTTCATTATAAACTACAGAAATATTCAATATGGATATGGATTACTTGACCCCATGAATTATGCTGGATATGTGAAGCGAACGGACAAGCTATATACACTTAATAGAAATGGTTTCTATAACAGCTACATACAGCTACTCAACATTCATATTCTTTAACATTGTTGATATAACAAGAACAAATTAATATAATATTAAATGCAAATAGCTAACTCTGTTGATGATTTATGTTGATACTTTATCATAGCTGTAAGTCCAGCTGCAATCTTATTTGGAACTAACAAGAACTTTATTTTGTAGTTTTGCAGAGCATCAGAGCATCTCTCTCCCTCTCTCTCTCTTTCTCTCTTAGGTGAACATTTTGGTTGTTGAATAATGAAAACTGAAAAAGTTGGCCAGAAAATAAGGAAAATTAATTGAATGTTGTTGACACTCGTTACACTGGCAACCCGAGTTGGCTACTTTCCATTCGAATTGCAGATGAATTGGCCAGCGTCAAGTTTTATGCGGAAATTATGGCACACTTCCGGCCGGACAGCTGGACTGTGTCGGCTAGCAAAACAAATAAAAAGTGAGAAAGACAGTGACAGAGAGAGAGAGAGAGAGAGAGAGAGAGAGAGAGGGATGGAGAGCAAATAAACTGCAGTCTGATGTGAAATTGTGCACTTTCGAAAATTAATTAAAAGTCATAAAACTCATAATGAAATTACCCAGGCAGACTCAAAGAGCGAAGGACAGACAGTGGTTAGCGGCAGACGGCAGACGCTCCAGGCCAAACTGAGATAGTCCAGCAGCAGCAGCATGCTGCATGCAGACAAACAACAACAAGCCGTTGTCTTGCCACACGGACAGGCAGCAGCGACCAGGACTGAGAACTGAAACTTTGGACATGGGTCAACAAGGTGAAGCCGTTGTCGTTGTTGTTACAAGTTCGTTACAAAATTAAATCAGTGTTCAGCTCACAGATTCAAGACATAAAATTGTGTAAAATTGATGGCAAATCACAAAATGCCAGCTAACATCGCAAATAGATGGCTCTCGGGATGGGCATGGCCAAAACTCAAATTTGTATTTCATATTTGCATGCAACAGATTGTGAACTGGCAGCTCGTTAACCATGATCCGGCTGGCAGGAGGTGTTTACGAGACTTCGTCTATTTGCAAATAGTATTTTTGTCTAGCTGGGCCAGCGTTTTGCATTTATTTGTTTGAGCTGTGGCCATAACAAACTGTTGACAATTTACACATATTTGCCAACACTTTTTATGTGGTGCATAGGTTTTCATTTGATTTACTGAAATTACAATAGATTTTAGTAAATAAAAGGCTGAGCTTGAATGCCGAATAGCCGGCTCTATGTATTGAGAGAGTAGAGATTGCAAGCTTATATAAATATGCATAATAACTTGACTTCAAATTTGCTTGATTGCTTCACATTCCAATTAGTGTAGAAATATTCCATTATCATAAATTGATTGCATATGCACATTTGTTTTTTACTTTTTTTACATAGTTTATAGATATTTACTTGACTTTAATTACTTGATTGTTTCATAATTATTTTTATTAGTTTAGCTTTTATATATANTTTTTTTTTTGAATAGTCAGGTCTGCTCGAGGTCAGGAGACCGTAGACTGACTGACTACATTTGTTTATTTACTTCTACACTATTGTCAAAACTGTCACTGTTACCAAGCCTACTGGGTATAAAAAAAATTTGAACATTTGGGGAAAAAACCGCGTTTTTCAAGTATTCGGCAAATTTTTTCAGTATTTTTAAGACCCTATACTAAACTCGTTGCGGAGACAAATCCAACAAATCAAAAACCATGAAAATTGGTTCAGCCCAAATCAAGTTATAAGCAGTCTTCACTTTTACACAACTTTCTTTTATATATATAGATATATATATATTTACTGAACTTTAATTTTTTTTATTCATATTCATATTAGTTTAGATATATACCATTGTAATATATACTTCTATATATTTATTTTTCCTTAGCATAACTTCTCCGTACTTCTCTTAGCCTTCAAAACCTTTTTTGCCTTTAGCCTGAAGTCAGGAAATTAATTATAAATTCATTATTGTATATGTACATATTTTTATTTTGATAAAATGTTACCTTTTGACCCAATGATTAATTGCAATTTAATTGAATTTTCTGTGTGGTTTCACGCACTTATAAAAGCGTAAATGGAATTTAATTAGTCATACTGCCGCCGTGAAGGAGTTATTCAATGCACATAACTAACGTTAAGTGAAGGCAACTTAATCACATAATTAACATAAAAATATGCCATACTTTGCATACCAATAAAAAGGATAACTTATGAGTGCTATAAAATCGGGGGACAGGGTATGAGTAAGTCGTGCATTAATGCCATTCGCTCGACAATTATCAAATATTCAATAATTAATTCAGTTATTTGCGTTAACTGCAAACGTCTGCAAATATTTGATGAATGTGCGCCAAGTGTTAATGAAATGCCAGCTGACCGAGGCAGGCCAGGCCGGGCCCACTCACGTTGGCCTGGCCAGAGGCAGAGTTGCCAAATGCGCTTCAGTTTTCAGCTGCACAGACTGACAGCCGAATCGATTCGACAAATTAGTAAGCAAAACTGTTGAATCGTTCGAGAATGCGCATATAATTGAGAGATTTGGGCTTCCGTGCATGAGACGTTAATGTTAATCTGATTTGCAATTTGCAATTAGTAGCAAAATATTTCGAGTGCACAGAGCACATTACCAATTATGGGCACCTTTGTTTCGTTCTAGCTCTTCCCGACAGGTGCGTGGGGCTTGGGCACGGGCAAGGTGTAGGCTTGTAATTTAATTTGGGGCAAAATTAAAATTATGATTGAGCGTGTGGGCGTAACACGTGCGTGCACGATTCAAATTGAATTTTAATTAATTAGTGTATGTGTGTGTGTGTGTGAGTGCGTGTATGAGTGCTTGCAGTGTAGCCAAGCGTATATATAAACCAAGTCAGCTTAATGTGCTATCGACCAAATTAAATGCAAAAATCTACTTAAATTCAGGCCCTTTGCCTGCTCTTGACTCTAGAGCCGAATGTCTGAGGATAAGAATTTGAAATTAAATATTATAGCATTGGCTTTATGCAGAAGTATGCTAGCAGCAGGCCTGATAAACATCCCGTCAAATCCTTGTGTTTGAGTTTGCCTAAGCAAGGCTTAGCTACCAGTATATAAGAGTGTTTGCTTAAATGAGCAAGCTTAAATATCTCTACCTGCATCTGGAGTGTTTTAGTTGATTGGCCTAGGTGTGATATGTTTGCGTCTCTGTGGGTGGCTCCAACAATTTATATGCTGGGCGCGCAAAGCCTTGACATCACCTTTTTCAATCAAGTAAAGAGCAGCTAGCACCCGTGTCCTCCATCAACTGTCCTCCACCTCGACCTCATCGCCGACTCAATAAGCTGGCATTTTATTTGCATTTTTTTATTTTCGTCACTTGATGTCGTCTGCCTGGCTGGTTGCCCGAATTCCCAGCAGTTTGTGAATGAGTCCGCCCAGCCACGGCCACGACCACGCCCACGCCGCGTCGAGTTTGGCGAATATTTCGCGCGGCGCTGTTGACAAATTCATCATCGTCTAAGCACGCGTCTGTCAAGCGCGCTAAGGATACAATAAATGTCTTTCGTGGTCGTCCTGTGCCGCGTCTCGCTCGACTGGTTGGTTGGGTGGGCGGTTGGGTGGTTTGGCTGGCTGCTTGCTCTGTGGTTGAGACACCCGCTGAGTGAAATACTCTGTCGGATTAATATGCAACAACGTTTTGCAATTTTTTGTCTCCATTTTTATTTTATTTTCCTTACGGGTTTTTTGTTTTGCTTTCTTTGCTTTATTCATTTGCCTTTGGGCTTGCGCTCTTCTCCTGCAATTCAACGCTCGGTCTCCTGCTCGGGCTCGGGCTTGGGCTCAGGTGCACTTTGCGATAACAAATTAAACAACTTTGTGCAAGCGAAAAACAAAAAAATACGAAAAAGTATATATAAATGCTTCGGGTTTTTTGCTTGCCCAGCAAACAGATGGAGGAGCAGCGCTCAACGAGTGGCGCAGCAAACAGAATTAGTTAAAAGCGGGAAACTGTTCAGGCCGGCTCAATTGATTGCAGATGTGGCTTTTGAGTCGTATTGCAAATTAAAGTGAATTTAAGTTATTGGAATTGACTATTTATGCCTGATTTATTCATTCATTGCCACAAAGTATATATAGTACTTGGAAAACGCAATGTCCATGGATGATTGATGAGCATTCTCAGTCCAGTAATTATATTCTGACAAAATTCAATGTAGCCAAGAATTATATTACACTCTGAGGAGAGTTTTTGTAATGCTCTATATATGCATGTGTGTGTATGTATTAAATTCAAATTAAATTATGTTTGCATTTAATATGTGGTAGATTAGCTCGAGCAGGTCTTTGATCATTGCGGAACTAAGGAGTATCAAAATAAAAGTGAGAGAGAGAGAGAGTGAGAGAGCGAGAGAGAAATCTATAGGAAATATAATTTGATGTACAGATGGATATGGATAAAAGAGACTGAGTAAGATTAAGTGGGTAGTAAAAACAGATGAACTGATATAGAGACAAGAGAGAGGGAGTAAAAGGCAGAGAAGTAATGAGGGAATTAGAGAAAGAGAAGGATTTAGGAAGAGAGGGAGAAAGCGCGAGTGACGTAAAAGGAGTAATAAAGAAACAAGAGAAGTTATAAGGACGAAGGAGTGCGAAGGAAAGGGAGACATAAAAACTGATCAAATGAGGGGACGAGTGAGAGAGTTTAGGATATTGGGCTATTCTCATTCCAAATTATCGCTGCATAGTTTTTCTAGTTGTTCTTTATAATCTAAAGTAAAATCAGTTTGCTGGATTCAACTCATTTTTATTTTGGCAATGCCTAGCAGAGCTTAGATACAGTTTGTTGAGGTAAAAATGTTTACAATCGATGGCTAGTATCAGGATCAAAATATGTATATATTTGTATAAATTTACACATATGGCGGCCCATGTATAGTATTGCTTGCTACAATTGAAACTTCATCATTTAAGGCAAAGGCTCGCACTCAATTGTGGCATATTTATTGAGATGCTCCGGCCATTCGATGCGACTGATCCGCTTGAGCTCGTCGAAGGCCTGCTTGGCCAGCCAGTGGAAGAGGGCGCTGTACCATTGAGTGTGTGTGGCCCAGAGATGTTTGGCGGCATCCTCGCTCTGATCGCTCGATGTGCGCACTTTGCAGTAGCGGGACCAGAGATAGACCATGCTGCGCATCTTGTATGCCCACAGATGATTCGGCATGTAACGTATCATGTCCTGCAATCGGCCGATTTCTGAAAAGTTCAATTTCCCCAAGAACTTCTCATTCATGATCTCGAATATGGTGCCCATTATCGACTGGTAGTTCGTCTTATTCAATTCCAAGGCCACGCTGGCCTGATTCAGCAGCCTCTTAACCGTCTGCGGTTTGTCATAGTTCATTACAATGTGCAGAAATGATTTGTCCATTAAATTAATACCTTTATAGCGTTCGAGCTCGTTCTCGATGCCCGCACCGCACCACTTGAAGTCTTTCCACCAAACATCCCAATCCTTGTAGTTCTTATTCCGATATAGCACCAACCATTCGTTCCGCAAGTCTTGGCGAATGCGCTTGGCCGCAGTTCGATTTGGATGTGTGGGACAATCTGGAATCGGCTCAGCTGGAGCTATTGGTGACCCCATTGTCATTCCACCCACTATGGGGCAGTATTGGCGCTTAAAGAATTTGATTGCATACGATTTGCCCTCTGGCTGCGGCAAAGCGTGGGTCTTCCTTTGGATTCGCGGCAACTCAACGCCGCCAATTTTAAATATCTGATTCGTCTCCTCCATAAAGCGTCGCTTGGGCCAATTCTGTTCGCTGGGCGAGTCCAAAATGCGCTTGCGGCTATTGTGTTCACCGAATTTGCCGTCAATTGTATTATCGATTCTGACTCGGGGATCTGGCAGCAGAGGTCTTGGCACCGAATAACCCATCGGATATTGATTTGAGTTCATGTTTGTATTAATCGTATCTGCATAGTTTCTGTTGTCAAAATGACAAGCATTTCGCTCATTATTTTGAAATTGTAGATTATTATAATTATTATAAAAGTTTCGATTTTGTTGTTGTTGTAGCTCACGTGCTTGGTTGTTGAAGTTGAAAGTATTCATAGCCTCGGAGTGTGCAGGCAACTGCTGGCGATAATTGTTGTTGAAATACCCAACATAGTCAAAGTTATTATTGAAGTGCAGATTGTTATGCCCTGTAAACTGACTGTCGTCTGTCAATATGTTGCGAGCATTTGCATCTATATTATAGGCCTCGGGAAAATGAGCCCCACCACTCTGATAATTGATTCCATTGTAGCGCTCGTCAGTGGAGCTGTGGGCTATGAAGGCGCTTGGATGTGCCGGTTGATAATTCTCATGGGCGTTGCGTGGATCCTCATTTATGTCATAGAAATCGGGCTCTATGGCATTCACTTTCAGCTCATACACAGGCGTGGAAGTCATTCGACGCTCTGACTGGCGATCAGTCGGGCAACGCATGGGTGAGCCATATCCCAGATGACCTGGAGCTGGCGTGTCGCAATCAGTCGAGTTCCAGTTAATGCCGTGCGGTGGCGACGGAGTTCTTGGATGATTCCTTTCTGGCGATCCGCTTTGCAGCAGCTCGCGGATCCTGCGCAACACAATGGCATCCACTTCGTACTGGCGCCTGGGACCCAGCTGCTGGCGAAGCTGTCGCCAGTGCTCCTGGAACTCACTCAGACTGAACTCTGGATGCTCCAGTGTGTGCATGGCCAGATCGTGCGCACAGCTGGGACTTAGGCCCAACTGAAGCAGCCATTCACGTCGTTCGTGGAGCTGCGACTGGACTTGAGCGCCGCCGCCATGGCTATCAGGCGCTTCCCTCTAAATTTTGAGAGACTTGTATATCTAGCAAATCGAAGGACCTTACTTCAGCTTACCTGCCCAGGGCTCGGCAGCAGTCCACGCAGATTGCTGCCATCAGAAAAATCGGCACGGTGCAGCATTGTTTAGATAAAAATGAAGAGTTTTCGTTCTTAAACCGATTTTATTTATTTATTTAAATTATTATTATTTTTTTTTTTTTCAATTTTCGATTTTATTTTTCTACGTTGTAATCAGTTTGTCGTCTGATTTCTATATGCTGTCCGCTTGAGTTTAGCTGGCCTTAAATACTTACTACAGGCTGACAGAAATACAGAAATGTCAATGCATACTTGATTATACAAAACTTGCTCAATTAATTTGGAGCAAACATAAATCGATAGCTTGTCAGTTTTCTATCGAAAAGGATGAGCAGAGTGTACAAGTACGGCAGCTAACTGTTTAATGTTACCTTAAAACACTAATATATGATATTATTCTTATTCATTTAAATTTATCCATCCATTTACTTTAATATATTATTTCTGTGTTAGCCACACTTGAACATTTGTTTTGGCAACTTTGGCAACTTTGGCAAAATCAATTGACTTCTAGAAAAGAATACCAGATCCGCTGATCCATTGGCCCAGATAAACTTGGCAATAATTTATTACAATCACTCAAGTCAATGGCAATGGCGTTGGCGATGGCGATGAGGACAAAAACGTCGCACATGAAATATAAATGGATCTCTCCGAGTTGGCTCGGCTCTGTTTGGACAGACGATGCGAGAAGTGTGTGCAATATTTTAAAATTGCATCCCAAAGGATACAAAAAAGTAGAAAACAGAAATGCGAAGAAAAAGCATTGCGATAAAATGTGCTACATCGACACACGTCGCAAACGAATGGGCAAAAAATTGAAATAAATAAGATATAAAATGGAAACAAATACACCAAAATGGCCCAAAAGAGCCGATACACCACCACCCCGACTCCCGCTTCCTCTGCGCATCAGTGGGCCACTTCCCCCCCTCCAGCAATCCTCAATCTCAATATTCGAGCAGAATTTATGCATGCGAGACATTGGCGAATGCCTTGCGACTCACGATAAGTGTATTTATTTGGGCTTGGCACTGCAATACGAGTGTTAAGAGTACAGCTACAGAGCAACACCAATTGCCAGTGCCCGATACGTATACTTTTAGCCGAGAGTGTAAATTTCTGTGTCTGTGTGCGCCGGCATAGAGCTTACGCTGCGTGGCGTATGTGGAATGTGCCCAATAACGTTCGTTCGTTTCGCTTCTATTTCGCTTCTCTGTATCCGCAATCCGCTGAGTTGGCGACACGGCCACGCCCACTGCTTGCAATTAAAGCAAACAACAGCGCAAACTAATCTCGAGGGTCTCATAAATTCCGTGGGGCATTCCTGAGGGGGTTCCCCAAGACCAGAGAGCGCCAGACCACGCCAGATGCCAGGATACCAGAGCCCAGACAGCACAACAATAGACACCGTCGCCCGAGGCAAGCAATTGAAACTATGCACGAAATCTGCAAACGTTTGCGGAATCACTAAGCTGGTTTTCTAATTTCTATCCCTATGCTGTGCTATCGTATCGCAACCTCGCCCCGGCCTGCCCCTTCCCCTGAATCTTATGCACTTTGTTTATTCTTCGCTGCGATGCCAAAGTGTAAAAGGCAAAGAGAAGGGAGCTAAATGAATAAGAAGCCGGGTTAAATGCGGCTTATCGCATGTGGAATGCTTTGCCCAGCCGAGCTCAGTTGTCGGGCTCAATTTGCATATTAATTGAATGTCAAAAAGGACCAAGAAAACCAACTTGGGCTGACTTTTGACTGCACGTGTGTGTGTGTGTGTCTGAGTGATATGATCATTGAAATAGACTTGAGGCCAAACACGACTCTAAATCAACAAACGAAAAGGTGAAAATATATATGAATAAATACATATATACACATGGCTCTAGGCAAGAGTTTAAACTAAGATAGAAATTCCTTAATTAAAATTAGGTTGAAGTTTGACGAAGAAGAAGCTGTTAGACATGTGTGTACTAACTGAATATATTACATATTATGGTAGTTCAGCTTTGAATAAATATGAATTGAAAGTGACAATTTTATAATTTAAATAAATTAATTCCAGAAATAGAAGTTTTATCAAAAACAGATTTCAAATATAACATAAATTTATAAAATAATCCCTTTAATAATTATAACAAAAATAATGAAAAATTCAAGTTAAATAATAAATAGAAATCAATAAATAATAATAAAATTTTTAAATTTTTGAACAGAAATATATATATTTTATAATATTAAAGGTCATGTTCTCTGATGATCTGAATTGTGTTAATTGAAATTGAGAAACGTTGTCAAGTAGCGGCCAAATAAACATGTTGCCAACATATACATATGTAGTTGGATGTATTCGATTAAATCTATAAATCAAAATGATATCAGTTCAGTTTCGGGCTCTTTGCTGTTCACTTTGGGCCTTTAGCAGGTAAGCAAACTCCCAGCACACTCATAAATCTTCAAGTGGCAACTGGGATCTCTGAGCTCTCTGGCTTTGCTGCTCTTTTGACTTGCCGGCAGCTCGGCTAGTTCGAAATGAAAAAGCCGTAACCCGCTTATAAACGCACTTCTAAGCCTTCATCAAATGCAACAGCAACTGCAATGGCAATGGCAACGGCAACGGCAATGGCAAGGGCAACGACAGACATGAGGCACATCATCATGCCACTGGCTGCCATGACAACGAGCCGCTCTGACATGCTGCTGTCAGTGGAAATCGAGTTCTGCTCGATTTTCCTAGCTGGAGCTAACGTCTCATGTCGCATGTCTCGTGCTGCCAGCATCTAATTGGCAGCTGCATACCACATGGACAATGGCACAACACACACACGTATACACACCCAGACACACATGCACATGCACAGGCAGAAGGATCTGGGAGCTAGCAGAAACAGGAGCTGAAATAGTACCAATAGCTGGAGATGCGGCTGCTATATAATCAGAAGGCATTTTGTATGCAGTTCTTCTCATCTGCCACTTTAACGCTTTGTGGGCATCAGGTGAACGCACCTGTGGTTATGACAAGCCCCATTGTTCGGCAACACTGAGAGAAATTATTAGCAGAGCAACATTATTGAATATGTGAAGTTAGAAAGAGATATAATTTTGCTTTAAGTAGTGAATAATTTATTGATCTCATATAAAGCACGCAACTATTCAAGTTCAATTGAGACTCACTTACCTTTTCGATGCTCCCATTGAAATTGGCATGTTTTCACTATGTAAAAAAATTTGAGTTGGTATGAAAGATAAAAGATTTTGAAAAATATGTATAGAAATTATCAATGATCCATAAAAAAGATATGTATGTTATTGAACAGGACAACCAGCTGAGTCGATACAGTAGGGGTTCGTGCGTTTGAACGAAGTTATCTCGTAAACCATAAAAACTGGAGACTAAAGCCTGAAATATATAATCGTGTGTACTATTTATAAAATAAGGATATTTTTAATAAGTTAAAATCAATAAATTAATAATATAAAATAAATAAATAAATTGATAAAAAGAGTAGTATACTCATTTGAGTATACATATGTTTTTTGTAGAGCTCAGAGTATCTCCTAGTCGTTTTTTGGCTCAGTGTGAACTTTGCTTGTTGGCCAACTTTTGCCGCCTGGCTGCTTGGCTTGGCTAACAACAATTTAGAATTGTGGACTTGGCTACTAAGCCGACAAGCAAATATCTGACTCAAACAAAACATTTCAGTAACAATTGAGCCCAGACTCTGGTCATTTCGGTGCGTTCACAGTCGTTAATGCTGCTCATATGCCAGAGTCTCCGCATGGCATATCAGCTAGAAGAGTTCCCTGTAATGAACATATTTAGCACAGGGTATCAGGTAGTTGTGTGCATTTCCTCTGCTGCCATTTGTTAAATGTTATTTGCATACGCTATTGAAGTCAGCCTGCCTCTCTCTCTCTCTCTCTCTCTCTCTCTTTAATTCTCTCCCTTTATCACATTCAGACATTTCCCTATCCACTGCTGATTGTGCCTGGTTCTGGAGCCGCTTTCTCTGTTTTAGCACAATCAAATTTTTGCCTTTTGCCAAGTTTTCTCATATTGCAGCCCATGCTGAGAATTGCAATCACTGTAAATTTCTGCTAACATTTTTTGTGCACAGTTTGTAGTTGGCATATGAGACTTACATATGCATGTATATATCTACTGTGTCTTCCCTTCCCTCTATCAATGAGGTGTGGAAAATTGAGAGATTTCACAGATATATATTAATTTGCCACAGTCAAACGCGGACTGGCACCAGCCTTTTTGGCTTGCTGACGGCGTGCTCAGCCAAATACAAGAGCTGCAACCGCAGCGGCGGCAAGCAAACTGTCTGAAGAGTTAGATACAAATAGCTACAGGCAGCCAGGATGTGGCAAGGATAAAACTGTGCTCGCTCTCCCTTCCCCTACTTTGCTCAGCTGCCAAAGACTTGTCAGAGACCTCAAAGTGGTTTGCCGAGCTGCTTTAGCACTTGCCTTTGACTGCATATCGCAAGATATGCAAATCTCTCCCTGTCAGGCTAACTCCCAGTCAGCCTCTCTCTCTGTCTCTCTCTCTCTCTTTCTTCTCGTGATGAAATGATTTGAAATGTTGGCACAGTTTGCCTCAAGTTTTGTGCTTCAAGAAATTAGCACACAAATTACAACAAGAAGCGACGCAGCCGCCATTTCGCCCCGCCAACTAATTGCCCAGAAATGTGTGAAAATGTGCATTTGCAGCGATTTATAAAATTGCCTGGATATACGATATACTCATGCAACATTCTCATAATATGTTTTCCAATGCATGAATAACCTAAATTTAATTATAACTTGCAGTATAGTGTAAATATTTACACTCATATTTGAGAATGTCTTAGCTATGTATAAAGATGTTGATATAGTATAAGACTGTGAACTACCCTGGTTTTAACCCAAGGCTGCATTTAAGGAGTAGAAGAGTAGGGATGGCGATGAAATAACTGTTTGTTGACTTGATCTACGTAAATTTAATTTATAATTAGTTACATTAAGCTAATTTAGCTGGAGCCATTCATTGATTTAGTATTGGTACTCGCTATAGATCG